AAGAGCAGCGACACTGTTCCACTTAGTGTTGCGTTTGTTGTGTGTAGTTACAGAGCGGTCAGAGGCTATTACTGTTTTCAAAGGTAAGTTTAGTTATGATTCATCATTTATATGTTGTAACATCCAATATGGTGTGTAACTGTCAGTGGTCAAAGTGTTTAAGTGTACAGGAAAGCCCTAACTAAGAAACGGTCCATATGTGTATGGCTTTTTGGTTCAAGGGTGATGTCGTATAACGTTGCATGTTCTGTCTCAATAAATACAAATCACACATATGTCACATTGCAGCTGACTGTTTTGTAAAGCATAAATCTTTCTGAGTGATCTTCTATGATCTTAGCAGCAGAAGGACTTTGCTACTCCGTCATGGTAATTATGTCAGTGTCATTTATGATAATTAACTGAATAGGTTTGGATTTTTTTGACAGTTGGTTGGATAAGACACCATTTGAACATGTCACCCTGGGCTTTGGGAAATTACACTAGGCCTGTTTCACTACGTTCTGACATTTTATTGACAAAAAATGAATGATTACTCAAGAAAATAATGGGCAGATCAATTGATAATGAAATTAATCATTAGTTGAAGTCCTAAAGATCGTGTTTTCTTAATGATCATTGCTCAGATTCAGTTTCCTAACTTAGAAAGATAAATAGAGTTGTAGGTAATGTTGGTAAAACTGCCAGTGTGGACCTTTTTAAAGTAATGTAAGTCACACACTAAATATTTCCTACAACATCAGCTGGAAACCTCAGAGCAGAGCACCTTCATTACAGTGTCATGTATCAGCTGTAAAGTCTCACCCTGGATAGCACTGGAAAGGATTTATGATTCATGATAGGCGTTATTAAGGCCCTTGCGTTTGAAGTCCAGGAGCTAACATTCTCCCTCATGCAAGTCTGAGCAAAAATCACTTTAATTAATCCAGATGCAGTCACCTCACTGCTGGGTACAGCCGCCCGTACCCCAAAGTCCCCCTTTCTAGTGCAGCGACACTGTCCGGATAATTGCACTGTCAAGGTCAGAGATTGTTAGGTTTTAGTACACTGTTCAAGTGGAAGGAATCTAATCAAAGGGCTCTGAGAGGGTCTAATCCCTGCACTGGAATGGCTTTGATTGTGTCAGGGAGCAATTAAGCATAGGTGCAAGTGTGTTTGGTCAATATATCAGTCACTGAGAGTCACCATGGCACGTATGAGCACTTTGAAACTTGGGTTGAGAGGTATTTTAATGCTACATGGAACGCCTGAGCTTTTTTCCCATGTTTTATCACGCACACATGAAGCAGAATTTAAACCAGCGATGTGAAAGGCCATGTACTGAATTCAGTGGTATGTAATGTTTACTATTTAATCCTTGTAACATGTAAGAGGCAGTTTTGATAGACTTAAAGGAATGCTGTACCCCTCAGATAATCATTTTTATATCGGTAACTCACCCCATATTTTATTGAACTAAGGAAGAAAACTTAGTTTTTCTCACATGCTTCCACAGTGAACGAAGAATCCAAAAACGGCAAACATTATGAATGCATCGATGCCATAGGGGTCCGCGTTTAACAACAGCAAAACTACATCAAAACAACCAAAGTTTTCTTTCAGGATTCAGCACATGACAGGCCTAGAACTGACAAATGACTTTTTTGGTTGGTGAAGTATTCCCTTAAGCTTTAGTGAGGCACAGCCTTTTCGTTGAGCTTCTAATGTAGTTGAAATCTGCTGCTGTCCCTCTTGCACAACCTCCTGACTCCTGACATATAATAAACATACACTTCAGCCACAGCTACTCAGCCAGTGTGTGGCGCCTAATGAGGGGCTGCTCCGAGAGTTTAGGCTGATGTTAATTTGTTTTGTTTTTGTTGTAAACTGTGTGTCTGTAAATAATGTGTAAATGACGAGTTGTCCTTGCATGCCAGCCGGCCGGGCCACACACATGGACTGACACAAAAACACACACACACACACACACACACACACACACACACACACACACTCATAACAAGCAAGGCCTTTCAGCGGTCCTAGTGATCGTGGTGCCAAGCTCTTTGTTTAGAATGCATTCATGGTTAGGTCATTAAAAAACTTCTCAATTTTAGTTCTACAGAATAATTGGTAAGGAAGATCTCTGAGTGACAGTTATATTTATTTCATCAGCTGACGCCGTTTTCAGGATAACTTCTTGTAATAGATGGAAAACGCAGAACTTATGGCAGGCTATTTTAAGAACATATCTGCCTGCCACAGTGGACAATGTAAGATATAGTCTGAATGGTGTTCAGTGTAAAAGGAAAATCACAGCTACAGTGTTGGAAAAATGCAAATATACCGTATCTGGGGTTGGCTTTCTTTTTTGTTGGCGATACTGTTTGCACACAGTACCCAACATACTCTACATACTATACCTTCAAATTAGAAAAATGTTGTGGTATGATACAACTGTGGGCCAGTGTCTGAAAGCCTCCAGCATTTCAACTTGTAAGAGAATTGTTAAGAGCAAGTTAGACTATTATTTTGGTTGTAGCACATTAAACACTCATGTAGATGTTTCCATTTGATCTCTACTCTTATGTTCTACTTTACAGTCTAAAGGGGTCAGTAGGGCTAGATGGCAAACTTGGAACTTTTAAGGGTATCAGAATCATTCATTCATTCATTCATTCATTCTCCGTAACCACTTATCCTATTTGGGTCCTGCATGTCTTTGGACTGTGGGAGGAAGCCGGAGCACCCAGAGAAAACCCATGCTGACTCGCAAACTCTGCACAGAGGGGCTCCCCCATCCCGGGTTCGAACCAGAAACCCTCGTGCTGTGAGGCGACAATGCTAACCACTGTACCACTGTGCTGCTCTTTAAGATAATCAATCGGTGCCAAATTTTGGTACCTGAGAGCTCATCTGGACCCCAGGTTTAGACAAGAGGCAAAATTGCCGTGAAGTGCCTCAAAGCCAGCCGCAGAGCTCTGAGGCTGGCAATGGAACCCTGCAGAGGGCCCTGAAGACAGGAATCTGGTCACGGTGCTTCACAGCGGCTCCATCGACTGCTCTATTGGCTTCCTAGTGAGCTAGAACTATCACTGCAGTGCTGATTTGCTGCGATATATACAGCGTCAGTTCCATTTTCTTCTCTATATTATTTAAGTAACAGCCTAGTGTCATTGCTAGACAAGCAGACACATAAACACTTAATATGTGATTGAAAAAGCATAGAGAAGCAGAACTGTTTTTTAGTCTACCATGTTTACCACGTTTTTGTTACTACAGAGAAAGTAAAGGACCAAATAAAGGTACCATTGGATACCGAATTTGGTTCATATGTGACTGGTACTCAACCCTAGTCAGTACTGTGCACCAGAAGTCCTTTTCACACCTTTCTAAAGTCAAAATTGGATACTGCAATTTTTGTAACTTTCTGAATACCCGCAATCACTTAAAGCAGTTAATACCTTTTTTCATTTTTTACACAATTTCCGCCAACTGAGCTATTAACAATTTGGCCCTCTGGTGTGGTTGGACAACAGGTAAACAAAGTTTAAGCATAATTCGGCCCTTACAGTCAATGCTGTAGTTTTACTTGGTGGTTTAGTTAGTGCCCTCTTGTTGTTGTGCTTGCATCACCTTTGCCAGAAGATTTTGCAATTTAACCGTATGTCAGTGTGCACTGTGTTCGTTGACTCCACTGGGGGCAGGGTGGTCCTATCATTGTACACTGACTTGTTGGTCAGAGATGGCAAGATACAGAACTCTGTAAACACAAGTAGACCTTCTCAGAGACCCTGAAAACTCCTACAAATAGAGCCTTTACACACCCACGTACAGCCACACATGTGCAGCATATGCAAACATCCACATACAGTACATATACGCACACAGAAACCCATGTACAGGCAGAAATGCACACACATATACACACTCCACAGCCGCAAGGGCAGCCCGCTCACAACCGCTAATGCAAACACAAGATAATATTAGCTGTCTATAAAATGGCAGGTCATATTTTTAAAATACCAACATGGGGTCATGAACTGCTGCATAAAAGACCATCATAGTTGTGAGCCCGAGCTGCTTGGCTCCAAATATACCCTTGGGTCTAACTTAAGACCTGGAGAGGTGCCTGCGGGTATTTTTGGGTCAGTGTTTACAGGTGTTTGTTCAGTGGCAGCGGTGCCAAGAGGTTAATAGGATACCCACTTTAAGAAGTTCAAATAGACTAAAGTCCATGTTGTTGAATTTGTGGTTATTTTGACCCAGGGATGGCCGGGAGGGAGGCTTCATAGAGCTGAAGAACACCTTTAAAGTCCCCCGAGGTGCAACTTCTATCACAGCCGTGTTCATTTACAAAGACCGCACCATCAAAGTATGGTGGTGTGTGGTGTGATTGACCGTTGGGTCGGTGTCAGAACGGTAAAATGATTTAGAAAACTTAAAATGACAACTCTCTGAGGGAAACGTCCTCTGGCTCCATAATAGAGACTTGCATAAGGTGCATGACTTCTTTATAGCAAACCTCTGTTTACTCTACTAATGTGCTGCAATAGTGCAAAGTTAAACCAGCTCTTTTATCATCCAAATATAAGCCATTATGGTTTGTTTTGGCTCCAGTTCATGCACTTTACCCTAGATTTGACTGGTGCAAATCCAGTGACCAGGAAGTTGATTTTCCTTAGTCTTTTTTTTTTCCAGATGTAAAGTACAAATCATAATTTTGAGACAAAGGGGTAACATCTGAAGTCGATTTGGAGTCAAATTAAGTTATTTTGCGCCACAAACTATAACCAACAACTCGTCCTCGCTTGTTGTTTGTTGATGTTGTTTACTGTGGGTCTATGTGGGTTAAGAAGTGCTCTGTGCTATATCGGTCTCCTCAGAACCTCCATCTTCACTTCCTTCTGTCACCCTCCTCTCCTTCCTTCATCCTTCCTCTCGCAAACCTTCCCACCCTCCCCCTTCATCCTTTATAGTTTTCCACTAACCTCTATTTACCTGCTCTGCTTCCTCCACAGGTTGTGCTCTGTCCATCCTGTGTTGAAACTGATTCAACCGAGCAAGTTGTTTGAAAGATCTGAGAAACACAAAATATGGCTGTGGCCGGATGTCCGGATTACTTCCTGCATCATCCAAATTATCAGGTAAATGGCACTTTCCATTGTAGGTTTTTCTTTGGTAAGATAAAGTCTATCTTTAAGAATAATTTACATGCTACTTTAACAGCTCAACTAGTATTTGTAGAGATGAAATGTTGCCATTTTAGACGAGAAATGACACAGCCAAGACCTAAAGTGTGAAGCCAGACTGTGATGTCAGTATGACTTGTACTCCAGAGTTGGACTCACAGGATGTCTGTTTAAAATTTTAAACCCAAAATAACTTTAATAGAAATTCTGACATTTCTAAAGCAGCAATGTTCCAGTGTTACGGACAACATTTGACTTGTTTTTCTACAGGGCATGTATGACTTCCATAATTTATAAATGAGACTTCTGGGAAATTGTTATTTGGATGAGATAATTATATTTGAACTCTGTCCCTGTACAAACCAGGCACCTTATGTATTTTACATGGGAAACTAATAATAAACTATTCAAGAAGCACTCAAGGTAATGTAGATTTGCTTCCAAGATTTAGAAGGAATAGTGAGGGTGTGGATTCAGGTCACTACAGTACTTGCCAACAGTCCTGCCTTTCCCAGCCTCTCTTGATCAGCCCCTGATCAAGAGATAAGAAATACTTCACCCGCTAAACGATCATTTGTTTATCAGTTACTCATCCTATGTTACAATGAATTTTTGAAGAAAACTTTATTTGTCTGGTGTGCCTCCACAGTGAACGAAGAATCCAAAAAAGGAGAAAGTTCTTGATGAATTGAAGTAAAAGTAGTTTTGCTGTTGTTTTGCTGTTCAGCAACAGTAAAATGCAGTAAAATCCAAGTCCCATTTATACAGTCAGACGCTCAGTACTTCCCAAACACATGCATTTTTGCTGACACCTTATTTATAAAAACACTTCTGCATAAATAGTCCCACACACGACAAGGTAGCACGCCTGTGTTTTAACCCTGCTCAATGAAATGCACATCAGGAGTTTAAACGTGCTTGCCAAGGTATGCTTCTCTTTTGCAGAAGTGCTGAGTGTACGACTGGATAAATGAGACATGGATTATCGTGCATAAGTTCTGTGAGAGTCTGTAAACAGATGATTTGATATAGTTGTGCTGTTAAAAGCAGCCAAGAATTTTCTCTGTGTTTGGATTCTTCATTCACCGTGGAGGCATGTAAGTTTTCTCTAAGAATTCACTGTAACACGGAGTGAGTAACTCATATACAAATGATCATTTTGTGGGTGAAGTCTTCCTTTAATAGTATGGTTGGTCCATTAGAAGAACGGCCTTTGGTTATAGTTTGTTCTGTTTAGTTTAGTCCTGACTACAGAGAGAGTGTGTGAATGGCAGTGATATGGTCCGAACATTCCACCACTGTGAACACATTGAATTCACAAAGAGCTGCAGGGGGACCAACTGTTTAAGAGTGTTGGTCCAACAGAGGTACAAAGACATCTTTTGGTTGATACACCCCCAGGTAACGGCTGCTCTTTTCATTCTGACTCAATGGTCGGCCCATTCACTCACACTCATACACACACACACAAACATGTACACATACAAGCACATACACTAGGACCTTTTGTACTGAGTGTATTGTCCTTATGCAGTGCAAATCCTATTTCATGTTCCTGGAGTAAATCCAAGATTTCAACAGCTTCCTCTTTGGATCTGAATGAAAAAAGAGTAATGAAAAAATACACACATGTAAAGGAATAGTTATCCTGAAAACACAGTTGTTTCTATACTTCTGTCATGGTTTTGGGACGTTTGATTGTAACTCACCTCATGCAAATATAATGACATGGTAATCATGATAATCAGTTGTGAGCTATAAACTATTGATTAAATCACAGCATAAATCACATTTAAACTACTGTGTATAGATAGATACATACTAGATAATCACTACAGGAGCAGTACCTTTAAAACTCTGGGTTCAGTTGCACAAAACACCGTAAGTTAAGATCTCCCTTAAAATGTTGACTTAAGTATTTATGGTTTTCTCCTTGCCTTGGTCTTATACTTAAGGAATCCCTAGACTGTTGCACAAAAGACCTTAGCAACAAAAGCAAGATGAACAAAAACTTGAGGTCCCTCAGATGCTATCTTAACTGCAACATGACTGAGTTTATGGTGATAAATAAAATCAACTAATACACCCTGAGATGAGTCTTCTGTGACCAGGAGAACCTCATGGATATGCTTTTAGTTTTACACTTCAGATTTGACTGAATTAGTTTTCGTTGCAGTTTCTTCCTACAGTCGTTTGCTGTTTTCTGCTATTTGGGGGTCAGATTTACTTTGTTGTATTGTCTTTCTATGATTATATTCCTCAATAAGTTCAATCTTTTCCTCCTCTGGCCAATATGGTCAGAGTCTTGTCTTCTTTTCTTCTGCCATTTTTTCACTATCTAACTGTAAGCCAACTTTGTGAGACGATAACAGGCATCACAAGAGTGAGTCCAAACAAACAATCGCCATGGAAACTGTTACTGCTGTAAAATCTCTTTCAATGCAGTAAATGAGTTAATGTTATTCCCTCTGTGCAAGGGATACTGTGCAACTGTGTAAGTTCCTGATCTAAGGAGAAATTAAGCCTTAAGTGTCATACTTAAGCAGAATACCTAAGGTGTTTCGTGCGACTGGCCCCAGACTCTTCACTAATCCTACTTTTGTTTAGCTATTAGCAGTGTTAGTGACATCCATCTACCAGGCTTATGAATAAGATGTTTGCATTAAATTTGGAGATATTTTTCTAAATTCTTAAAAGTCAGAAATATGTCCTTTTAATCTCTTAAAAGTGTCTGCAACCAAATTCTTTTACTGTTTGATTTTAAGGTGCAGCCACTTTTTAACTATCAATCTAATCTTAATTTGTTAAATTGAATTTTTGCCGACAATATTCATGAACAAGAGTATATGCATTAGGAACAGGACAAATACAATTTGTTCCTCTCAGCATTTTGTACAAACAAAGGCCTGTGAATATCAGTTTGTGTCCTGATTCGCTGATTTGTTATTGAGCACTGGCAGCCCTGACCTCTGGACGTCGATTGGGTTTTAGGTTCGGTTGATTAGTTCACACCAGCCTCCGTAGTGCAAAGGTCTTCGAAACGTTTGTATTAGAGCAGTAGCACTATTAACCTGATCGGAGGCTAGCCTGTTGTCTGCTCGTCATCTGGGCCAGGGCTTTATCTGTGACCTGTGACCTGTGACCTCAGAGCTAGAGGACAGAGAGTTCAGCCTGCGAGATTCTCCCAGATCTCCACAGCTTAGAGAGACACAAACCAAAGATCCACATGAGGCTGTGTGTGTGTGTGTGTGTGTGTGTGTGTGTGTGTGTGTGCGCGCTGACAGGCTAGTATTTGTGGTAGAGTGAAGTCCGTGTTATTAGTGTGTATATTATTTCTGTGTTTCTGCCTTACTGCTACAGCTGCAAAGATTAATCCACATATGTTGTTAAGTGCGTAAGTGTTAATGAGGCGTACATTTAATAACAGAACAGTTTAAGGAACTGACCCAACAAAAACAAAACCACAGGGAATTGGCCCCGAGTCCAAGCTGAGGCAACACCCCCCTTTGGCACAGTGAATCATCATGTATAGTGTCCAAAAATAGAGCAGTGTAAATATGTGTAGGCTAATCTGCTTACCATATGTACTCATTGCATTCACACTGCCTTGTGCTCATTCAAACACACCAACATTTTAATGGAAATCAACTGTGATTTTTTTTTTATGTGGCAGACAGGCACTATTCCATTGTAGGAGGCTGCTTTGACAGCTTTAAAATCTGAATAGAGTCAGGAATCATGTAGTTCTTTCATCTTTGCCAACAGTTTGGATGGGTGCTGCTAGAGCTACAGTATACAGACATTAATGTACACACTGGTTCTCACACACACACACACACACTCACACACCACACAGAGCAGTACCCGCGCTCAGACACACACTCGCTCGGCTGTTTGCAAAGCATTCAGCTATAACAGATGTACCTTGACTGCTGCTTGACTTGCCGAATGAGAAAACCCATTCACTGTGAAATTCCAGGCTTATGGAAGATTTTCCCCGATAAAACTGCAGCAGCAATTCAAAACAGATTCAAGTGAAGATAACATTCATGCTAAACTCGAGGGATTATATCGCCACTTTAATCTCGTTTCTGTTGTATGATCGTGACCGTTGAATAAATGATGGTATGTGCAAAGTGAGGGGAATCTGATGTGGTAAAAAACGGATTGATAACGACAGGATGATAGCTGATTAAAGGACCTTTAATCCAGAATCTACAGTACCAAGGTTATATAAATGTAAAACTAACCTGGTCCCTCATGTATAGTGAGTAGATTCTGCAGTAAAATGCTGTGTAAGCAAAACTCAAGGAGTCTCTGTACGCCAAAAAAATAATGTTGTCGTGTATAAAAGTTCTGTATGCCCTCCAGTGTATTAAGCTTACCGAAATCTAAGCTGGATCACTGGATAAACAAGCAGAGTTCAGCACTTGAGCATAATTTTTGCCATGAGAGAGCCTGAGATAGCCGTATTGTTTTATCTGGGACTAAATATTAACAAGATTGTGAGGTTTCCCATAACATACTCAGTAATCTTAGGTATCAGAACATTGCTTTTGTTTTGCTTGAACTTTTGCAGTGTGAATATTTCATTGCATTTGTAAGAGGATCATTTCACAAAAATCATGTCAGTGTGGACATGGTATTGAGGCTGGGGTGATTTACTCTGCAGCTTTGACTCAGTCGGCCATCACTTTCAGTGCATTGGAGTTAAAAGGAATACCCAAATGATCATTTGTATATCAATTATTCACCTGTGTTATGTTTAAAAGAAAATGTAGTTTATTCTCACGTCCCTCCATGGTGAGCAAAGAATCCAAAAACTTGATAAATTAAAGTTACAGGGGTCTACGTTATATAACTATATCAAAACATCTGTTTACAAACTCTCACACAACTCCTGCAGTATAATCCAGGTCTCAGGGTGCTTTCACACCTGCCCTGTATGGATCGGT